AATGCATGCATGTGCAACGTCGTAATTCCCAAACGAAATTATCGAACGCCTTATTAATTTGAACGACTAAAAAAGACTTTGAATTGTGGTCAGCTAGCTGATGGTTATAAAATTGATGTCCGGTCGTTATCATCATTGTTTCAACCAAAATATATCGTCCGTTTTGACGACTTTTCTACTTAGCCGCGGCGCGCGCCAATTATAATTGTCTTGGCCCAGAGCCAAGTGCCGCGCGCGCAAAAACCGTATAGCCCAAACGTACGTACACGTAAGCATATGTATGCCCTGTGTGTGACCTCTTGCATTCCAACGAACTCCACTGCTGTACGAGTCTGGCCAGTTTGAATATCCGTTAAAACAACAGTCACAACTGAAGCAGCTTTGGGAAGAGACATATATTGGCCCACAATGAACAAGTTTTGTGCACCTTTCAACAATATTGTCAAGATTTGGTTCTGCGATGGAGTACTGTACACATTGGAGATGTTCCCACCCCTGATCTTAACTTCAAGTCAAGATACGACACCAAGATGTATAGGACAAGCACAGGTCAAGATTTCGATTGAACTGCAATCAAGATGATCTGATTTTGCAATGTCTGAAAATGGTAAGTTTCAAACGCAAATGTTTCCGAGTTAGGGATTTGCAATTTCTTTGAAGGTCAATAGTTTGGAAATTGTATCTTTATTATATCTATATTATGTTCCCTATCAGTCATGTCAGTTGTAACATTAAAATTCCATGGAAAGTACCTTAACTTCATTGTAGAAAGTTATTAGACTAGACATGTTGGATGCTATTGTCATTTCTTATTTTAAAAACAAAGCTACACTAACGGTGCCCTTTATTTAAAAATTGAAGAAGTAGAAAATCCAAATTTATCAGCAGTCATGCATGTTCTGCCCGCTTTCCATCATCATCATGTCCTATCTTTATTTAGGCCTATGAAAAATGAGGTCATTTTAAAGCATATCTCAACATGAGACGAGTTTCCCACACGTACTGTGTTGATTGAAGATTTAGAATATTAAATTTATTATGAATTTAACTGCACCGCAACATATTCCGCATCCGGCCTAACTCAAACGATCGGAATGTCTCTTTTATTTTGATACAGATATTTTGATACAGATACGTTTTGAATTTAGTTTTGAAAGTGTGCAGAGTTTGGGAATCATACATGTATGACGATACATTATGCCACTTTTTTTTGGTTGTGTACTCTATGTCATGTTTTGTTAATACCAGTATTTACTATAATAATTGATTTGTTATAGTCTTTCCAAAGCGCTTAGAAACACGGCGTATGAAGCGCTAAATAAATGTTAATTATTTTTTGGCAATTATTAAGACAGTTACGGTGCTTGCAATTTTAAATTTTTCATTAATTAATTTCAGTAATATTCGTTTCTTAGAATCGCATGAAATTGCCCATTAGACTTAAAATTGGCCTATGCTTCGACTTGTCTTCTTCATAAGAATTATTTTTAATACTTTTTTTCGGATTTCTGAAAATTTTCGGATTTTCTGAAAACTGCTGCTGCACTTCAAGGAATCTGTTTTGTTTTAATTATTTACGAGTCACCATTATTTAAAAAATGTGTTGGTATTCAAGAAAATTGACAATGTTGTTCATTTCCCCCCTTTTCCAGCTCTCTGCTTTGGTCAGTTGAGGGAGACGAATACACTACCTAAGCCCTACTTTACGTGGCACCATGCACCATCAGGATCAACATCGACCGCCTGATGTCTTCTATACCTGCACAAATATTCACAAAAGAGATTAGAGATCATGTCTGTGTTGGTTGCGATTCAGTGTTTGATTCAAAGGCTCAGACCGACGTCTATTTTTTTTTATTTCATGTCCAAATTAAGTTGAATTGTGGTAATGAAATCTGAGGTCAAAATTGATCGGCCCATCAACATTGAACATTTGAAGCGTCTAATTGACATTATTTAATAAACCTGTCAGACTGACGCCACTAGTTTGACTATTAACTAACGTTAGAAAACTTAACACTGTTATTTCGGTTGTGTACTATACGAACCTAGCCAACCAGTTTGTAAAAAAAAATGAACAAGTTGTGTAATATGTTTACACTATTGTGTAAACAACAGTTTACACAACAGGTTGCTAAGTTCATATAGTACACAATCGTTTGATTTTTACACAACCGAAATAACAGTGTTCAATGTCTACAAAAATTACATTTGCAACCATGTACTGACCTATAACTTCAACCATGAAATCCGAACGTTAAAATGACGTTATTACGACGGTCAGATAGACGTCAATTTTGACCTCACACAGACGTTATAATGTGGTCATTTTTCGACGTCTAAATAACTTCAACCGCGACGTCCTGTCGACGTCCATTTAACCAGTCAAATCACGGTCAGACTGACGTCATAATTTGACTATATACGGACGTTAGATTTCGGTCAGGTTTTCGACGTCTAAATAACCTACACTTTCAACCATATTATGACCTAAATTTGACCAACAATCTGACGTCCTGTCGACGTCCATATAACCAGTTAATCATGGTCAGACTGACGTCATAATTTGACTATATACGGACGTTAGATTTCGGTCAGGATTACCAGTTAATCATGGTCAGACTGACGTCATAATCTGACTATATACAGACGTTAGATTTCGGTCAGGATTAGCAGTTAATCATGGTCAGACTGACGTCATAATTTTGACCACATACCGACGTTAGAATTTGGTCAGGTTTTCAACGTCTAAAAAACTTACACTTACAACCACGACGGCAACCAAAAAACAACGTCGGAGTTGGTCGGAATCTGACGTCAGATAGACGTTAAACCGACCAAAAATGCCTGCTGGGATGTCCAAAAATATTGGATTTAGCAGGGAAATGTGTTACCTAAAAACTATAGTCGGAGTCCCTTATCGCGGCATCCCTTTATCGCGGCATGGAAAATTTTTCATTTTGTGTTGACTAAACTCCTTGAAGTGGCGATTTTTATCCAGGTCCTCCAGGCCATAAGGACTTACTGCCGAGTCGTATTAAAAAAGGACGATTAAAAAATGTTGTGTTTTTCGGGACTTTTAACGATTTTTAATAAATATTCACATTTTCCCAAACCTGCAAATTTTCCCTCACTGTCATGACCGTGTCTACTAAACCTAAAAGGTACCGTCTATTAATTTTAACATAAATCATTAATGGTGCTCCGTCCATGAAAGTTCCATTGTGTGGTTCCCCTTCTACAGCTGCAAACACAAAATGAAGTCGAATGACGATATTTCCACCGCGGAATCATACAAACTTTTACGGGATCAAAATAAGGACAGCGCGTAAAAAAATAAAACGGCACACCGTGTAAACTCAATGGCGCCCCCAATCGCCAATCAGTAGAATTGTCACAGTAATTTTCTTCTCCTTTCGGGGAAGGGCAGGGTTTTAAGAAATCATCCTGCAGGGATATAGCCTGTCAAAGTTTAATCAACTTGAACGTTACAGGGAAAATATCAGACTTTATTCAGGGGATGTTTTGGTAAAACATTAACTACATGTATAGAAAAAAAGTTGAGTTATAAAAACCACAATTCCCACATACCGTGATAATATCCACCTCCATTCGCACATTCCGATCATGTCTATTTTCACAGGTATTTGAAAAGGAAGAGTTATACAACCTAAGAGACAGGACAATTCGGGAAGGTTAGCGGGCAATCTCTAGTCCAAACAAGAAACGTGATAAGTACTGCGATAATACGGCGTTCCATCCTACATGCTTACTGCCACTGCCAGCATCCTACTGTCTGAAAGAACACCAAGGACTTTCCACTAAATGTCCAGAACTCCAGGTATGGAATCTTTCCGGAGTATTTTTTAACCCTAACCCACCTCACTCCTCCAAAATCCTCCTGGCGGTTTTGGAGGATTCTTGAGAATTGAGGATGAATGGTGATTGAATCAAATGAGGATTCTGGAGGATTGAGGATGAATGGTGATTGAATCAAATGAGGATTCTGGAGGATTGAGGATGAATGGTGATTGAATCAAATGAGGATTCTGGAGGATTGAGGATGAATGGTGATTGAAGCACATGAGGATTCTGGAGGATTGAGGATAAATGGTGATTGAAGCACATGAGGATTCTGGAGGATTGAGGATGAATGGTGATTGAAGCACATGAGGATGAATGGTGATTGAAGCACAAGAGGATTCTAGAGGATTGAGGATGAATGGTGATTGAAGCGCATGAGGATTCTAGAGGACTGAGGATGAATGGTGATTGAATCACATGAAGATTTTGGAGGAAGTTCCTCCATGAGGATGAATGCATTTTGTGGCAGGACTGTCTGATGATTTTGAAGGATTTGGCGTTGGTTATCCTTCATTTAAACACGAGTGCAAAATTTTGGGATGAGGAGGATTTTGGAGGATTGACGATGAATGCATTTTGAGGCAGGACTGTCTGACAATTTTGAAAAATTCAGGTGGAGTTGCAAAATTTTGGAGGATTGAGGATGGTTCTAAGCAAAAAGGGCCTAGGGGGTTATTAATGCTTTAATTGCATACAGTGTGAGACTTTCTTTTTATAGCTCCATGATTGTATAGTCATTCTTCCAGAACTGTAAGTGTAAGGGTTTTAAACTAAGTTCAGGAAGTATGGTCAGGCCCTACAGGCCCCATTTTTATCGTTTGTAAATTTGTCAATTTTTTGGAAAAATTGTTCTGAAATATCACAGTAATTATTGTCAACCAAATTCTTCAAACGATGCCCTTTCCAAAAATAGCAGATGAAAACAATATTTGAACTAAACCTTATGGTTAAGATGTTAAAATAACTTGTTTTCCTTTGTTTCTTGAAGTTGACAGAGTTTGAAGGTTCTACCAAGGATGTCAACTGTGGAGCACATACAGGATGCAGAGCACACTGATGACGTATCACCATGGCAACGCGTACTGCTCAACATCACTTGAATGAGATTGTACCTGACACTGTTAATTGTAAAGAGCGCCACCTGTTGTTTGGTTATCGATCAACATTAATCATATGCAGCAGATAATGCAGCGGTAGGCTATATAGGCCTGCACGTCAGGTAAGTCTGGACTATTTATTTCTCAAAATTCAACTTCTTTTTGGCGTTCTGGAAAGATTCCCATATATCTGGACATCACTAATTTTTCCCTACAGTGACCTATATCACCATTAAAAGGGATAATATGTCAAAAAAATGTTGGATTTAGCAGGAAAAAGTTGCTACCATGGCATGCCTACTGAGAAAACATGTCAAAGGACATTTCCTAGTCTTTGTTGGTCAGTGGTGTCTGAGGTATGGGAGTCTCTCCGGAGTATTTTTGAATGCTTTGCATACATTGTTGGGTAAGACCTCTTTTTATAGCTCCATGATTGTATAGTCATATAGTCAGCAGGGCCAGGGCCTATTGTTTTTAGTTCACCGCACCTACCCCAATTAAGAACCCAGTATCAATGCACACATATAGTGGTGTTCCCTAACGTGGCGCACTGCGACGTTTCTCCTGACTTTCCTCATGCACGGTTGCAAAACTTCTTTGTTGATAAACTTCGAATTCATTCAGTTATTACTGGTACTTTTTCAATAGTATTTGTCATTTAAATTCTGTAAACAATTTCACTGTCATACAATTCTGAACAAAACTTAAAAACGGTGGCGTCCGGAAATTGGGCCAAAAATCAGCTCAGTGTTCCCTAACACAGCGCACTTGCGTAAATCTTGGAAAATTCCAGGTTAACACTAAAAAAGTTATTTAAAGTTAGCAAATTTTTAATTAATAAATAAATATATCTCTACTTTACCCAACTAGAAGTATGTCAGAAAATTATTTTCTTATTTTGGGCTGAGTATATCAGTGGTGAGTTGAAGGTAGATTGTTTCTTGATTATAATTTGAGTTAGAAATATGATTCGGGTTTGTAACTTCAGCGACTGCCCTTCAGGAAAATCAAGTTTGGATTGATTTGGGGGTCAAAAGGTCAAAGGTCAACGTCATTGGTCAAGGTATAGGTCATTCCATTGACCAGTGTTAACTATTCTACTACATGTGCTTGTAATTTTGCACCTTATATCAACAAACTCAGGCCGAGGGGTTTCAACAGCACCGCTGTATTTTTTAGGAAAGTTGCAGTAATGTTTATTGATTCATTTTATTTCATCAACAGCTTTGAAAATGGAGTTGAGGCCAGACAGACAGGGGGCATAGGACTGCATATTTGCTCTCAGGTCATTTTATCTAATGCATTTAATGTTAGACACTATTCGTTTTTGAACTTTTCTCCAAAAACCTGACAATATTTATTGCCAATCACCCTCTATTATTCAGGACCAAATTTTTTTTGGAATTATTCTTGACCATTCTCTTTATTTGGTGAACAATTTTGACCATTGTCTGACTAGAGGCGTTTGCATGTTGATATTAGTGCTCAGGCATCAAATTACGTCAGGAATCGACCACTAGTCTCGCCCCAACTTGCTCATAGTTGTTTCTGTGGCATGGTTTAGCTGTATTTGTCCTTTTTGGGGGGAAAAAGTAGTGCAGGTGGGAAAATTATCAGAAAAACTAAGATGACATTTTTGTGTGTTTACGTTTCTAGAGTTACTTCTACAAGGACGATAGGTTCAACTACAACTATGCGCAGGCCAAAGCCACAGCAGGCAACTACAAGGAAGCAGAGGAGGTAGGTTGGACTCCCGGACCCAATTTTTGTTGTTGCGCCCTCAATAGTTGGCCAGTCATGGCGCAGTGACTCGTCATGGTGCCTGAACTAGTCATGGTGCCTTTCATTTGCAAACATCAAAAACCAAAACCAAGTTATTATGAAATACCTGACTGTTAGGGAATAATAGTCTCAAGCATCCTGTGAAATCACGGCACCTGGTGTGCTGTCATTTCCAAGAAAAGTGGAATTTTGTATCAATTTCCACCGATGGTCGGCCCTGTTTGAGAGAGAAGCCCGACTTTCTGTCTGTTCTCATCCATATACTGTTGCCGTATACCTAGATGTAGAACAAAAAGATATTGCAATAGCTTGTTTTCCAACGTGCTGCATCTCTTAGGAATTCCTTGCCTGGTGCTTATTTCCCTCCAACCTATGATCTGTCCTGATTCAAGAGGAGTGTGGAGTGCTGTGGCCTCGTGGTTAAGGGCGTTGGATTCGTGGTCTGCGGGTAAAGCTGCAGGTTGTGGGTTCGAGTCCAGCCTGGGGTCATGGTGCGTGTGCCCTTGGGCAAGGCACTTTGTTACTCATTGCTTCTCCCCACCCAGGAGTAATAGGCTATCAGCTTTGGTCCAATTGGGCCACCGGCAGACGATCGAAAAGAGCAATGCTCATAGCGATTTTTTGAAAGGCACATCTAGAGTTGGAGAATGTGTGATAGCTTTGCAGTGTGAGTGGTGGCAGTGTTATCACTTTTGATTTGTGTTTTCAAAATTGCCGTCAATATGCTTGAACCGGATAAATTGTATGTTGTAACAAGCATGTTTTGGCTGCCATTTAAAAAAGAAAAAAGTGATATCACCCATAAAGCTGCCACCGCTGCAATGCTGTCAAATATTTTCCGACTAAAGGGGTGCATACCTTGCCAAAAATCACAATGAGCATTATTGCCCTCATTTGATACTGACCAAACCCCCACACTGATGGCTTATAAGTGGGTGCCTATGAGGGCAGAGATGGTGTGGTTGATTTAGCTGCTTTGCTCCGACTTGTAGCCCTGTATATCTGGAGTGGCTTGTAGCCTTGTTCAGGGCAAATAGGCATAAAAAAAACAAGTCTAAAACCCGGATGGGGATCTTTCTGTGCCTCCTAGACCACTGTTTTGGTGGGAACACTTGGTTTTACCATTATTTAATTGGAGTGGGTTTCGTTTCTCTTGTTTTCCAGATTTTTGTGCTCATTCAGAGTGAGAAGAGCAAGAATGACTACACGTGTCTCTGGTTGGCAAGATGCTGTGAGTATTACCGTCAATTGTGAATGACGTTTCCTCTTCTAACTTCAAAGTTGCTAATTATGAGAATGAATCCACCTGTTCAGCCTCAACTCATAATGTATTGACCACTCACAATTGTGACTGCACAACCAAATGTCCAACTAAAGTCACGACACGTCGCGTGCATGCATTTCATGTACTGCTGGAAAATCCAGAGTGGCATTAGGGAGATGCACATGTTGCCCATGTGTGAGGTAGACTGAAGGGTCTCTAACAATGACATAACCAGCATGCAATCATCGCCCTGATCGTATATTAAGGATGTGACTTTGCGTTTCATTCTGTAAACGTTAAGCGAATCTTTTACGAACCGTTTTAAACGTTTAGCCATTGACAGTGGCTTTTGCCTACCCATTATGTCTGATCTGCAGACCGGCGTGATTGACATGATCAATCAACAATGGTTGACATAGTAAATAGCAGGCAGTCGTTGATAAAGTAAAAATGTAACTACGTGTTCCCCAAATGTAATCAAGTACTACGGTGCTTCTAAGGTTTTGTAAATTAAGTAGGTTTGAAAACAACGTTAATTATTTGTGCTATATGTGTGGTTATCTCCAAGGAAGATCGCGTGAACAGAACTCCCTTTTCTATAATTCTGGTTTTGTTTACATGTTTTGAGAAATTTGTAGACGGATTTAGAAGTTTTTTCGTTTACACGTGTAAACTTCACATCTTAGTCATACATTTGCCATGTTGTATTTATTCTGTCACATTTTAAGCAGATTGTACGACAGAAATTTGCTACATTGAACATCCCTCTTGGCTCCCAAATATTGTACACGGTTACACTGAGCATTGCTGGCTGAAAATTGCTGAAACGAGCATCCACTGAACCGAACCATCTTTTGTGGACCCCAATGTGTTTTCTTACAGCAGTATCCTATGTATTTATAACCTTTCTTTGTGTGTTTTCAGTTTAGACATCATGAATCGTAAGGCCAGACTAGCCTGGGATTTGTACCTTAAGATGGAGACGTCTGGCGAATCGTTCAGCCTGCTGTAGCTCATTGCCAACGACGGCTACAAGGTAAAACATCATCCCCTAATTTTGTATGTTTGGTCAAGATTTTGGCATTAGCCCCAAATTAGTATCTAGTCACTCAATCTAAACCTGCAGCCGATTTCACAAAACACATTTGTCACTTCGTCAAAACCCAAATCGTAGAGGAAATGTCAATCTAAATATAACACACTTGTAAAAAAGAATGCACATATCCAGACGCCACTTCAGCCGTTGTGTACAAAGTCTATGGCGAGTCAAGAAAACTTTCCAAGTATTTCTGAACAAAATTGGAAATGTTTCTGCAGATTCGTGTTTGTGAAACATTTTTGCAATGACTGATCTTTATTGAGATGATGTGTGAAGACAAAAGTGGCGTCAGGTTGCAACATTGTTCTCACGTGTAAAATCAACGAGAATACGAATTCCGGTCAAAAAAGAAAAAAAACATGATTTGTTGCACATTTACCACTTTGTGTCATTAGCTTGAATATAATGAAGGATGCATTTTTGTGTCGCAAACTTTGGTAAGCATGTAGAGGGCATCATAAAATATTAGAATAGCCAAAAATCCCAACTGCTAAAAAATATTGATTTTGGACAATTTCATCACTTTGTCAACACGGTGGCGATATATGATCGAAAACTTCAGGCTTTTTGTTCGAACTTCTGATGTTTTTTGCTCGACCTCAAAATATAATTGTCACGGTCTCTCGATCCTCAAATCTCATCTTTTCTATCGGTAGATGGCCAGTTCTACTATGTGGCCAAGGCTTTCGATGTCCTGGAAAGATTGGACCCCAATCCTGCATACTGGGAAGGCAAGCGAGGGGCGTGCGTGGGCGTATTCCAGCAGATCATAGCTGGTCATGAACCAAGGTGGGTGTCATCTCTGTCAATCAGCAGTGCACACTGACCAATCAGATCAACTTATGGTCAGGTGACCACAGTACATCTATCAAACAGTGCGTACTGACCAATTACATCTCAATAAGTATATCACTCCGGTGCTCTACCAACTGAGCTATCCAGCCCAATGTTGGCGGTTCCCTAATTGTCAATATCTCTGTCAAAGGGGCGCTAGTCAGAAGCCCTCAACCCGCATATGCCATGCAGCCAGGGATCACGCCCAAAGTCACGATGCAGACCTGGGAAATATCAAACGGGGATCACTCAGAGAGGATATGGCTTTTTATTACAAATTTTCATGAATACTTCTCAACTTCTTAGCCCTCTAGTTCAAATTCATTGAATTTTTCCTTTTTCCCCCTAAATTCTATAAACAGCTTTCATTTTCACTATTAGGTTTTGCCCTTCACCGACTTATAAACACTGTATACTCAGTGCGTTACCTCCCGAGTGAAAGTTGGAAAAAATCACTCGGTTGGGACTCGAACCCATGACCTCCTGCTTTCTAGTGCAGACATCTTACCACTGGACCACCGAGCTTACAGAATTGGTTGCCTGGCCAGCCAACCAACCCCGTAAGCTCCATGGTCGAGTCGTGGGTTCGAATCCCACCCAAGTGATTATTTTCCCAACTTTCACTCGGGAGGTAACACACTGAGTATACAGTGTTTATACATCGGTGAAGGGCAAATCCTAATATTGATTTACATCACCCCGACGCAAAGTCCATCTTGTTAATAGCTTTCATATTTATGTGCACAAAACCCAGTGAAGTTCAAGCCACTAGATTTTTGTCATTTTTTTTCCTCTACAGAGAAACACTGCGAGACATCCTCCAAATCTTGCGCAACACCGGTAACCCCCAGGTGGAATACATCATCCGTGTCATGAAGAAGTGGGCCAAGGACAACAGGGTACCAGTTTCCTGAGGTGGTCCCTATCCTATATAGTCTTGAGATTGTTTAAATTTGTACATTCCAGGAACCCCTGCTTGCAAAGGGATTTTCCAAAAATAAAATAATGGAACGATACTGTTGATTAAGAGTGATTTAATTATTCTTGACGCATGGGAAATTTCCCTTGAAATATTTCTCTATTTAGCTTTGGCAAGATGGTTATGCAGGAGAAAACAACAGTTCTGGAGAGAGGCTGGTCTCTCATGGCATAAACAAAGTAGGCTTGCCTAGTTAAGCTGGACTCTGTGACTCAGTCAGTGACTTGGTCAGTGACTCAGTCAACAACTCAGTGACTCGATCAGCGACTCCATGATTCAGTCAGATTCGGTCAGTGACTCAGTCAGTGACTCAGTCAACAACTCAGTGACTCGATCAGTGACTCCATGATTCAGTCAGATTCAGTCAGTGACTCAGTCAGTGACTCAGTCAACAACTCAGTGACTCGATCAGCGACTCCATGATTCAGTCAGATTCAGTCAGTGACTCAGTCAGTGACTCAGTCAACAACTCAGTGACTCGATCAGCGACTCCATGATTCAGTCAGATTCAGTCAGTGACTCAGCAGTCAGTGACTCAGTCAACAACTCAGTGACTCGATCAGCGACTCCATGATTCAGTCAGATTCGGTCAGTGACTCAGTCAGTGACTCAGTGAGCGACTCAGTGACTCGATCAGCGACTCAGTGATTCAGTCAGTGACTCAGTCATTGATTCGGTCAGGGACTCGGTTAAGGAATCACTCAGTGACTCATTGAGCGACTCAGTGGCTGTCATCAACTCAGTGACTTGGTCAGTGTCTCATCGCGCAGTCAGTGATTCGGTCAGTGACTCGGTCAGTCAGTGATAATAGTGACTGACTCGATCAGTTAATACTCAGTGACTCGGTCAGACAGTCAGTCAGGCAGCATTGAAATATTCATCATCATTGTGAAGGTTCACGTCACAAATGTTGCTTACATGTAGGACAACTCTGCAAGTTTGTTTTCTTGGAGTTTCTGAGGCCTGTTTAGAGACAACTTATCGGCATGAGAATGGGCCAGGAATGGTTATTCAAGGAGGGGGGTAGTCATCTGTACGTAATGTAATTATACTAATTAATGGTTTATATTGATATAAATATACATGTACAAGTTTTCAGAGCACGTTTGTCAGGTAATTAGGGTGTAAGGTCCAGAAGGCAGGAAACAAATTGAAGATGAGTGATTTGAACTGAGCCCAATTTCATAGCGCTGCTTAGCACACAATTTCTGCCAGCAGAGCTTCTCCATCTATCTATCACATTGTCAATACTATATTTTTTTCATGTACAATATTGGGAAAGAATGTTGCAACCTGATGCTGCTTTTTCTTCATATCATCTCAATGAAGTCATTCATTGCAAAAATGATGACTATGATGAGACATGAATCTGGGACTGAGAAATACTTAGGAGAAATTGTCTTGACGCTCCTTAGACTTTGCACACAACCGCTGAAGTGGCGTCAGGTTGCAACATTCTTTTCCAATATTGTGTGATATTCTGACTTCATTTCTTTATTTCATCTGTAAAAACATTAAATGTTTACTGCCTTTCTTTAAAGGGAAGATACAACATTTGCAAACATCACAAAACGAAATGATCAAATTATCGCAAAATACCTTACTGGATTGTTGGGGAATGATAGTCTAAAGCATCCTGTAAAATCGTGGCTCCTGATGTGCTGACATTTTAAAGAAAAATTGTACTTTTCCAACGCTGGTCGGCCGACCAGCATTGGAGAAAACTGGCTATTTTTCAAAAATTGCTCCGAATTTTTCATAATTAGTTATTCCGCATTTTCTTTGCAATTGATTACACACCTGTGAAGAGGTACAAGTCTGCTAGCTAGACTGATTCTCTGACCTTACAATTCCCCAAAGTCTATTAATTGCTCCGTTTTATCTTATAAGTGGGGTCACCAGACTGCAAATACATGTCTGGTTTTCTTGGCTTTTCCAGCATCTACAAGCCCAAATGCGAAAAAAGTCATTTTAACAATATTTGCTATAACATACTAATCCTCCAAATCCATTTATTTCTGAAAATTGCAGCAAAAGCAAATGTTGTACATTCCCTTCAAGTCCGATAAATCTTATCTTGCAGTGTAAATATTGTGTAGGTGAATTTTAAAAGTAAATGTTACTTTAAGGATTGTTGAAATGCTGTGCATAGTTTTTTGAATAAAGAGATATTAAATCATCACAATAAATAAAAGTGAAAAAAAATACCTGTTTGTTATTGATTTGTTTGTTTCCTTTGTAGTTTGTTTGGGATTCCTGAAAACAAAACTTAATTCAATTTATTTAAAAGATAAGTTAAGTAAATTTATGTTTGGGCATGGGGCTATAAAAAGTTGGGAAGGTAAAAAAAAAAAGAATAATATAATTTCAATTTGTTTAAAAGTAAGCTCAGTCAATTCATTTTTGGGAAAGAAAAAAAAGTGAAGACAATTGAACAACAATACTATGGTGGGACTCGAACCTGAGTCGCCAGATTGGGAGTCCTACGCCGGTCCAACAGACCATTGTCGCACTTAAACAAAGCTACAGTTCTGCTTTATCATAACCGTAAGATAGGCTTATCGTGGCTTTTCACGTTGACGCCCATGCACGCTTAGACGTAAAACACAGTCTGACGATGTAAAACATTCGTTTGATTTTTGGTGTAGCTGTTCTAATTGATCTAAATTTAATTGGAAAAGAGTAAAGGGTGTCAACTGAACTAAAATTGTGAACTTCAATGAAATAAAACTCGTACAATCCTTGGTTTCAGTACGAAACACACGTGTTCAACGGATGCAGAGAAGCCTATTTCTTTTGTTAAATTCCTTTGTTGGATCTTGCGTTAACAATAAAATGTTTCCATTGAGGGAAAAGGATTAAACGCCGCGATCTTTTTTCACGCTTGAGTGCCTCTGAATGGGGAATATTGAAGCGGAAAATCACGATTTACTGCACTTAGGCAGCATTTTATACCCACATTATGATACTTTTTGAAGAGGAAATTGCATACTGAATACATCTATAGTTTCAAAATTCAAAAATTCGCCGTATTTAAAAAGTCGAGGAAATTTTTTTGGAAAAATTTCACCAAAACTTTCCTCATCCTAACGTAGGCGGCGCTATATATATATTTCATTCTCAGTGCGCGCATTGTTAGCGCGATAGCCGCCGCCCGATCTGTGTATCACCCGTTTACCCAATCTTATTTTAGCATCACAATTTCAATTTATCTCACGAATTAAATTTGAATAGGTCTACAACTAAAACAATAGATAATTAAAGTCAGTGAAAAAAATACAATCCGAATAAAAGTCAACTTTAATGGAACAAAAGAGACGCGTATAAGGATATTAATAAAAGGGCCCCGGTATACACATGAGCAAGAGGGAGGCGGGAATTTTTTTGTCGTATGAGATTGGGGGGGGGGGGGGGGGAACAAGCGAAATATATTTATTAAAAGTCGTAAGTGGAAAATGTTTTTTAAATAAAAGGGCTATAAACTGTACATGTATACAAAACAGGCAGCCAGCCCCGCCCCCATCCCCTTGCAATGCCATACACACACGCTAATGCGCTAGCCAACTCTGGATACGGTGCACGTGCGAGAATGAAATATATATAGCGCCGCCTACGTTAAGATGAGGAAAGTTTTGGTGAAATTTTTCCAAAAAAATTACCTCGACTTTTTAAATACGGCGAACTTTTGAATTTTGAAACTATAGTTATATTCAGCATGCAATTTCCTCTTCAAAAAGTATCATTATGTGGGATAAAATGCTGCCTAAGTGCTGTAATTCGTGATTTTCCGCTTCAATATTCCCCATTCAGAGACACTCAAGCGTGAAAAAAGATCGCGGCGTTTAATCCTTTCGCCTCAATGGAAACATTTTATTGTTAACGCAAGATTCAACAAAGGAATTTAACAAAAGAAATAGGCTTCTCTGCATCCGTTGAACACGTGTGTTTCGTACTGAAACCAAGGATTGTACGAGTTTTATTTCATTGAATTTCAGGATTTTACTTCAGTTGACACCCTTTACCCTTTTCTAATTAAATTTAGATCAATTAGAACAGCTACACCCAAAATCAAACGAATGTTTTACATCGTCAGACTGTGTTTTACGTCTAAGCGTGCATGGGCGTCAACGTGAAAAGCCACGATAAGCCTATCTTACAGTTAATTAAGTAGAACTGGTTGAGCATTTGAGTGCGTTAATGGTCTTGTGGACCGGCGTAGGACTCCCAATCAGGCGACTCAGGTTCGAGTCCCACATTATTTTATTGTTACTTAATTTCCTTCCCTTTTTTTTTCTACATTCCCGAGACATAAATTGACTGAACTTATGTTAGAAAAATTGAAGTGTTGTTTTCAGAATAAAATAGAATTAAAAATATAAAATATTCTTTTTTTATATTGTTTATTCCTCCATGATTGGATCAAGAAATTCAAAACTATGGGAGAGACAAGTTTAGAAATAACACAGTGTTTCCTGAAAAGCAGTTAAAATTTTATTTCTTTCAACTCCAAAGTAACAGTCTATATGAATTTAACTTAACACAGAGTTATCACTGACTATGGTATTCTCGAACTAGTTGCAGAGCATTTTGTTACACAAAATAAAACAATCATATTTAACCAAAACATTTCACGCATGTCAGTACTGCATGCGTACAGTTTTACAAACAAATGATAAGGACTAGTAACTGGGTTTTGGCATTAAAGATGACTCATTGTCCAAAATCAAGTATTTTTTTCAAAATCAAAAAAATATATAATTAATATTCTCCGGAAATGTAGTGTGTTAAAGCGCTCAAGATACTGGCGATCTTGAGTCAACTTTCATGACAAAAAGCAATGCAATCGGTTTCGAGAAGATA